TATGCTGTGTAATATGTGCACATAAAAATTTAATGTGCACATGTGCACATTGTGCACATGAATTTTACACACTGGCAAAGACCCTAATGGCACGCTAAGCCTGATATTCAATGGGATTAAACGATTGAATAAAGGTGAAAAATATTTAAAGATTACTTGTGATAATGCGGGTGGACAGAACAAAAATAATGTCACTATTTGATTTTACCTATATTTAGTAATTTGCGGCTATTACGAAATTATCAAATTAAATTTTATGGTGCCTAGACATACTAAATTCAAGTGTGATGGTAGTTTTAGATTAATTAAGAAACTGTATCGCAAAATGACTGTAGATTGTGTGGGTCATATTGTTGAGGTTGTGAAAAGATCGAGTACAGTAGGATTAAACAAAGCTCAGCATTATGATAAGGAAAAAGGCTTTCAATATTTAAATCTTAATTCTGTGTTAGGAATTTTCTTTAAAAAATTGAATGGTTTACAAAAATATCAGCATTTTGTATTTGAAGTAGCCAAATTGGGTATTGTCAAAGCTCAGCTGGTTACTAATGATTTATATACTGAATTTAATTTGTTAAAAACTAGAGAGGCAACTGTTTCTGAAATTACCAAAGAAATTAAATCTTTTTCTATTTTAGTTCTAACTCCGCCTCCATTAGATTACAAATATCAAGACTACCTTTACAAAAGTATTCGTCCGTTTGTCAGAGATGAATTTAAAGATATCACTTGTCCAAGACCAACCTATACTGATAATGAATAAAAATATTTCAGTCAATCACAAATTTTATTACTTTATTAGTTTTTATTAAATTCTTTATATTTAATCTTTTAATGATATTAATATTAAAATATAATATAGGAATTAAATTATGATATTCAAAAAAAATGATATCAATACAATAGATGAAGCAAAAGAATATTCCAATTATTATGGAGGAGTCCTTAAACCAGAAGAAAAGGCTATCTTTGATAGTAATCTTTTAAACCCAAATGACACTTTGGATAAAACATTCCTTCAAGATATTACTCAGTTATTAAATAATTGTAGAGAAGGTAAAGAAAAAGTAAAAGTCAAAAAGATGGGTTTAAGTTCAGAAAGTCATAATTTATTGGCTTTCATCTTAAAAGAGCAAAAAGCTGAATCTATTCCTTATCAAGTTGTTAATAATCTAAATAACAATAAACCAGTTGATAAAGTTGTTAGTCAGTTTAAAGATATTTTGTTTAGTAAATCTGATCCTGAATTTGATCAAAAAACAGAAGAGGCTGCACTTAAAATTAATGATTTAAAGGAAAAAGGGGAAAAAATAGATAAAGAAATTAAAGAGTTAAAAAAGAAATATAATGATTCACTAGAAAAAAAACAAACTGTTTTAGAAACTAAGG